GAAAAGGGGAGGGCCAGCGGGGGGGGGGGGACTGGGGAGGGATAGCCTGGGGAGAAATGCCAAATGTGGGTGAAGGGGAGAAAGGAAGCAAAACACACTGCCATGTGTGTACCTATGCAACTGTCTTGCATGTTCTGCACATGTACCCCAAAACCTAAAATGCAATAAAAAATTTAAAAAAAAAAGAACTAGAGAAGCAAGTGTTAACGAATTCAAAAGCTAGCAGAAGACAAGAAATAACTAAGATCAAAGCAGAACTGAAGGAAATAGAGACATGAAAAATCCTTCAAAAAAATCAATGAATCCAGGAGCTGGTTTTTTCAAAGATTAACAAAACAGACCACTAGCTAGACTAATAAAGAAAAGAGAGAAAAATCAAATAGACACAATAAAAAATGATGAAGGGGAGATCACCACTGATCCCACAGAAACACAACCAACCATCAGAGAATACTATGAACACCTCTATGCAATAAACTAGAAAATCTAGAATAAATGGATAAATTTTTGGACATGTACACCCTCCAGTACATGTCCACTAAACCAGGAAGTAGTCAAATCTCTGAATAGACCAACAACAAATTGTGAAATTCAGGCAGTAATATCCTACCAACCAAAAAAAGCCCAGGACCAGACAGATTCACATCCTAATTCTACCAGAGGTACAGAGAGGACCTGGTACCATTCCTCTGAAATTATTCCAGACAATAGAAAAGGAGGGACTCCTCCCTAACTATTTTATGAGACCAGCATTATCCCAATTCCAAAACCTGGCAGAGATACAACAAAAAAGGAAAATTTCAGGCCAATATCTCTAATGAATATCGATGTGAAAATCCTCAATAAAATACTGGCAAACCGAATCTAGCAGCACATCAAAAAGCTTATCCATCAAGTTGGCTTCATCCTTGGGATGCAAGGCTGGTTCAACATATGCAAATCTATAAACGTAATCTGTCACATAAACAGTTCCAAAGACAAAAACTATGATTACCTCAATAGATACAGAAAAGACCTTCAATAAACTTCAACATTCCTTCATGCTAAAAACTCTCCATAAACTATTTATCTCAAAAAAATAAGATCTCTTTATGAGAAACCCATAGCCAATATCATACTGAATGGGCAAAAGCTGAAAGCATTCCCTTAGAAAGCCTGCACAGGACAAAGATGCCCCCCTCTCACCACTCTTATTCAACATAGTATTGGAAGTTCTGGCCAGAATAATCAGGTCAGAGAAAGAAATAAAGGGTATTCAAATAGGAAGAAAGGAAGTCAAATTTTCTCTGTTTGTGGACAACATGATTGTATATTTAGAAAACCCCATGGTCTTATTCCCAAAACTCTTTAAGCTGATAAACAACTTCAGCAAAGTCTCAGAATATAAAACCAATGTGCAAAAATCACAGGCATTCCTATACATCAACAATAGACAAACAGAGAGTCAAAGCATGAGTGAACTACCATTCACAATTGCTACAAAGAAATAAAATAGCTAGAAATATAACTAACAAGGGACATGAAGGGCCTCTTCAAGGAGGACTACAAACCACTGCTCAAGGAAATAAGAGGGGACTCAAACAAATGGAAAAACATTCCATGCTCATGGATAGGAAGAATCAATATCATGAAAATGGACATACTGCTCTTAGTAATTGACAAATAGGATCGAATTAAACTACAGAGTTTCTGCTCAGCAAAAGAAAATATCATCAGAGTGAACAGGCAACCTACAGAATGGGAGAAAATTTTTGCAGTCTACCCATCTGACAAGGTCTAATATCCAGAATTTACAAGGAACTTAAATTTACAAGAAAAAAACAACCCCATCAAAAAGCAGGCAAAGGATATGAACAGGCACTTCTCAAAAGAAGACATTTATGTGGCCAACAAATATATGAAAAAAGCCCACCATCACTGGTCATTAGAGAAAGCAAATCAAAACCACTATGAGATACCATCTCACGCCAGTTAGAATGGCAGTCATTAAAAAGTCTGGAAACAACAGATGCTGGCAAGGATATGGAGAAATAGGAACACTTGTACACTGTTAGTGGGAGTGTAAATTAGTTCAACCACTGTGGAAGACAGTGTGGCAATCCCTCAAGGATCTAGAACCAGAAATACCGTTTAACCCAGCAATCCCATTACTGGGTCAAATGGTATAAACCCAAAGGATTATAAATCATTCTCCTATAAGACACATGCACACGCATGTTTACTGCAGCACTATTCACAGTAGCAAAATGCCCATCAATGACAGGCTGGATAAAGAAAATGTGGCACATATACACCATGGAATACTATACAGCCATAAAGAAGAATGAGTTCATGTCCTTTGCAGGGACATGATGAAGCTGGAAACCATCATCCTCAGCAAACTAACACAGGAACAGAAAACCAAACACTGCATGTTCTCACTCATAATTGAGAGTTGAACAATGAGAACACATGGACACAGGGAGGGGAACATCACACACTGGGACCTGTGGGGGATGGAAGTGGGGAGGGAGAGCATTAGGACAAACACCTAATGCATTCGAGGCTTAAAACCCAGATGATGGGTTGCTAGGTGCAGCAAACCACCATGGCACATGTATACCTATGTACAATCCTGCACGTTCAGCACATATATCCCCGAACTTTTTAAAAAAAAATACAAAAAGCTTGGGCCATTCAACAGTTCCCCTCCCCCACAAGCCTTTTTCCAGAACAGCATTGTTTAACGGGACCTTTCAAGATGAGGAAAGGGTTCTATAACTTCACTGTCCCACCTGGGAGTTACTTGTGCCTACAGAGCACGCATTTATTGACTTATTTAGAGACAGAGTCTTGATGTATCACTCAGGCTGGAGTGCAGCGGCATAAACACAGGTCACTGCAGCATCGACCTCCCGGGCTTAAGTTCCTCCTGTCTCAGCCTCCCGTGTAGCCAGGACCACAGGTACATGTACGCTACACATCCTGCTAATTTTTGCTTTTTTTTTTTTTTTTTTTGCCCAGGTTGGTCTCAAACTCCTGTATTCAAGCAATCCTCCCACCTCAGCCTCCCAAAGTGTTGGGATTACAGGTGTAAGCCACTGTACCTGGCCTATCAAGTACCTTAAAAGCCACTCCCACAACTAAGGAACTGACCATTTTTATCGTATTCTAACCAATTTAACTGTCAAGAGCTACCTGTGTCTAGTGGCTACCAAATTGGACAGCGTGGTTTTAGAATTTTTACAAAGAAGCAAAAGTGAGAGCTCTGTATGTTTTTGGTGCAAAGGCCAAAAAGCTGTGAGTTATAGAGGAGGAATCCAGGAGTCAGTGGAGGTCATCTGTTTAGGCCAGGAACCCACTTACTGTGTAGGTACTTTTTCAAATCTCTGAATGTAACTCTAATACACTGAGAAATGATTTACTCAAGACCAGGACAAGGTTAACCAAGGGGAGCTCATGGTGCAGCCCAACATCCTAGGCTATCTGGGCTGGAGTGAGCCAAGGTGACGTCTGTTGTGTGGCTCTAGAATTGAAAGCCTGCATCTTCACACTCGACCTGTACACACACACACCACCCCAGAAAAAGCAAAAGCCACTGCACACGAATCTTTCAGAATTGGCACCAGCAGGAAGGAGAGTGTTGTGTCTGACGGCAAAAGGAACATGTAACCAACCGTTCAGAGAAGAATCTGTTCAAACTCCAGTTTTGGAGCTGAATGAATAGAAATGAGGAAAACAGAGTGGTTTCTAGGTGAAGTGGGTTCCTGAACGACTTTTCTAAAAAGATGTGCTGAAGAGTATAGTCAGTGTGGTCAGGAGTGTCAGGCGACTGCTTTCAATGCGTCCAGCTGCCACTTGTTTAAACAAGCCTGATACCCATCCCCCCACCCCTCCAGCTGGGGAGAATTTGCTCTGCAAGAAAAACAGATCCGTGCTGCCTCCAGCAGAGGCTGAATCCTAATAATCCTAGCTTACTATTACAGCAAAGTAACTTCCCATTTCCTAGCTCATCTGCTTTTAGGTGTAGGGTAGACACTGTTACTCCCTTTGACCAGTGGAGAAACTGAGGCACAATGACTCCCAGGTAATTACTGTCTCACATATAATGCTTCTGAACGTCACCCAAGAGCCAGAGGTTTGTCACCAAAGGCGCTGTAAGGGAAAAAACACCAAGCAACAATTTATTCCATACCTAAAGAAACTCTTGCCAACCTCAAGTCCGGTTCTTAAGGCTGGATTCTCACGACACATTTATTATAGTGAGTTTAGAGACCTAGAGTCCCACTCCAGCAAATGTACCCCGAACCCATGAATGCTGTGCATTATGGGATAAAATATACATCACAGGGTGGTGGCTCCACCATCAGTGTTTTGGGGACGAGAACTGAAGTGTGCAAAAGAACACTGGGACATTTCTAAGTAGAAGCAACACACACATGTGAGACACCAATTTCCACTCCTGGCTGCAGAATGAAATCGCCTGGGAAGCATGACACACTTCTGAGGCCTCCGGTGCTGATATCATTTGCCTGGGATCTGATCTGGGCAGCCAGAGTTTTACAAAGGCTCCCCAGGTGATTCTAATGTGTAGCCTGCAAACAAAAGTTGGATAACTCGGGAGAAGGGGGGCTTGGTAGGGTCTGGGTTACATGCTGTTTCTTGGGTTATCTGATGTTTAAAACGCCTGAAGAATGAAAGTCTAAATGTCCGTGGCCTCTATTTTCTTATCTGTAAAAGGGCACAATGTTAAGGACTCGGGGTGAGAGGATAGGAGGGGGCGTGGGGGAGGGGGACGAGGGGAGGGCGACTAGTGGCGAGGGAAGAGGGGAGGAGAACTGCGGGAGGAGGAGCAGAGGGGGACTAAGGGGCAGGGACTGGTGGGGGTAACGGGTCGGCGTCCGAGGACTAAGGGGAGGTGGACGAGGAGAGGGGAACAAGGGGGCAGGGCGGGTACCCTGTCTCTTGTGAGGGGACCGTAAAGTGGGACTGACTTTACGTGGGGACGAAGCCGCTCTTACCTGCGTCATAGAAGGCGTCGAGCACGGCAGTCTCCCCGAAGTCCAGCTCCCCAAAGGAGACCGAGGTGAGGTGAGCGCCCTCGGCCTCGCAGGCCCGCAGCAGGCACTGCACGCCCCCGCCTCCGGGCCGCCGGCCGCGCCGCCCTGGGAGCTCTCACTGCGCACGTAAACTGCCCGCAGAGCCCGCCGCGGCCCGCCCCCGCCCTCGCCGTCGCCGCAGCCGCTTGCCGCCCGCCGCGCCTTCCGCCGCCCCGTCGAGCTCCGCCGGCGCGAACGCGCCCTCCACCCCCGGAGGCGGCGAGCACTGAGGGGACTCGCTCGCCGCCCCGATGGCCGCAGCCGTAGCATTCCCGTTGCGGCTCTCCATGTGCCCACCTGCGCGCCCTTTCTCAGTCCCACCCCGGCGCTTGTGGCCCGCGGCTACGATCCGCTAGGAGGCACAAGTTACTGCGGCCGCGCAGGCGGTCCTGGCACCTGCTCCCGAGGCGCGGGACGCGACGGGAATCGAGGGACCCTGCGTGCACTGGGTGCCCCGCGGCTGGCCGAAGACTGCAGTGCCCCTCGGCTACAGCCTGAAGCTCAGGCCCCGCGGCCCCCAGCGCCCTTTGAAGGCCGGAGAGAAAGAGGCGGGTGCTGGGGACGTCAAGGCGAGCGAGGGGCGGGGAGGGGCCGGGGAGGGCTGCAGGGCAGGAGCGGGGAGAGGGTGCCCCCTGCTGCCCCCTCCAGGCAGCGCCCGCCCACAGCCAGGAGACGCCGTACCGGGAACGTGAATTGGGGGCCTGTTTTTTTTTTGTTTTTGTTTTTTTTTTTTTTTTTTGCCATCCCTCTAACCTGACCACCATTAGGAGCTCCAATTTCTTTTTTCCTCAAAACAACTTGAAGCTTTCGAGCAGGGTAAAAACTCTTTCAAACCATTGGTTAGATGGAAATGTTCTATTCCCAACTCAATAGAGACCATATTAATAGTTTTCACCCTCATTGGATGAACGGATGCTTCATCCCGGGTTGCCAAGAGCAAGTCTCTCCTTGAGCTCTGTCCTGGAGGCCGGCTCGTCCTGGCTTTCGCCGTGGCCTTGACAAGTCACGGGGAGCACCAGCAACAAACTTTGTCTGGAAAATAGACTCCAAGTACGCTGCCTGCCTGACCTTTGAAAATACCTTGAACCCAAAGGGGCCCTCACTCCTGATCTTACGCACTTCACGAATTTGGACCCAATATTAAAAAACAGTGTTACCACTGCGGGTAATATAATTATTATTTTTAAAAATCTCTTTTCATACAAGGTCTGGCGCTACTGCCCAGGCTGGAGTGCAGGGGCGTGATCTCTGCTCTTGGCACACTGCAACCTCTGCTTCCCAGGGACTCAAGCGATCCTCCCACCTCAGCCTTCAGAGCAGCTGGAATTACAGGCGCACACCTCACCATGTTCGGCTAATTCTTTTTTTTTTTTTTTTTTGTATTTTTAGTAGAGACGGGGTTTCACCATGTTGGCCAGGCTGGTGTTGAATTCTTGAGTTCAAGCGACCTGTGCACCTGAGCCTCTTGAAGTGCTGGGAGTTACGGGCCTGAGCCACCACACCTGGGGCACTGTTTTCTAAAACATACAATACACCAAACTGTCACAGACTTAGAGGTTTTTCTTTTTTCAATTGCAATATTATTTTTAAACTTGTTTTAATTGACAAATTGTATATATTTGTGGAATAAAATCTGATTTTATTTCTAACTTTTCAATTCAGGGATACATGTGCAGTTTTGTTACATAGGTAAACTTATACTGTGGGGGGTTGCTGTACAGATTATCTCATCACCCAGGTATTAAGCCCAGTACCCATTAGTTATTTTTCCTGACCCTCTTCCTCCTCCCACCCTCCACCCTCTGATAGGCCCCCATGTGTGTTGTTCTCCTCTATGTGTCCACATCATTTAGCTCCCTCTTATGAGTAAGAACATGGAGTATTTGGCTTTCTGTTCCTGCATTTGTTTGCTAAGAATAACGGCCTCCAGTTCCATCCATGTTCTTGCAAGGACATGATCTCATTCTTTTTTATGTCTGTATAGTATTCCATAGTGTTTATGTACCACAGTTTCTTTATCCAGTCTACCTTTAATGGGCATTTAGGTTGATTTCATGTCTTGGCTATTGTGAATAGTGTTGCAATGAACATACCCATGCATGTGTCAACAGAGTGAACAAACAACCTACAGAATGGAAGAAAATGTTTGCAAACTATGCTTCTGACAAGATCTAATATCCAGTATCTATAAAGAACTTAAATTACAAGAAAACAACCAAACAGCTCATTAAAAAGTGGGCAAAGGACATGAACAGACATTCTTCAGAAGAAGACATACATGCAGCCAACAATCATATGAAAAAAAAGTTCAACATCACTGATCATTAGAGAAAAGCAAATCAAAATCCACAAGATATCATCTCACACCAGTCAGAATGAATACTACTAAAAAGTCAAAAAATAACAGATGTTGGTGAGGCTGCGGAGGAAAAAGGAACATTTATATTCACTGGTAGTGGCAGTGCAAATTAGTTCAACTATTATGGAAGACAGTGTGGCGATTCCTCAAAGACCTTGTAACAGAAATAACATTTGACCCAGCAATCCCATTACTGGGCTTATACCCAAGGTTTTCTCTTTTCTAATAACAGCTTTATTGAGCTATAATTCACATACCACAAAATTCACCCACCACACAATTCACCCATTTAGAGTGTACAATTCAATGAATGGTTTTTAGTATATTCACAGAGTTGTGCTGCTATGGCCATAATCAGTTATAGAAAATTTTCATCACCCCACTCCCCCAGTGCAAAAAAAATCAGTACCCATTAGAAACCACTCTCCCTCCTTCCCAGCATCCCCAGCTCTAGGCAACCATCAGTCTACCATCTCTGTAGACTTGCCTATTCTGGACATTTCATACAAATGAAATCATGCAATGTGTGGACATAGGTTTTTATTTATCTTGGGTATATACCTAGGAGCAGGATTTCTGGGTCACATGTTAACTCTACAGTTTTTTAAAAAATAAATTTTATAGAGATGGGGTCTCACTATGCTGTTTAGGCTGGTCTCACTCCTGGCTCCTACTTTGGCCTCCAAAAGCTCTGGGATTACAGGTGTGAGCCACTGTGCCAGGCTTAACTCTATGTTTAACCTTTGGAGAAATTTCCCTGTTTTCTGAAGTGGCTGTACCATTTTACATTCTCACCAGCAGTGTTCCAATTTCCCCAACATCCTCACCAATACTTTTTATTGCTTTTTTGATTATAACCATCCTAGCAGGTGTGAAATTGTACTTCATGATGGTTTGATTTGCATTTCCCTGATGGCTAATGACATTGAGCATCTTGTCATTGCTAATTATTGGTTGTTTGTATAACAACTTCAGAGTGATGTCTATTCAATCCTTTGCCCATTTTAAATTGGGTATTTGTCTTTTTATTATTGGGTTGTTAGAATCCTCTATACATTGTGGATACAAGTTCCTTATCAGATTGGTGATTGGCAAATATCTTTTCCCATTCTGTGAGTTGTCTCTACACATTCTTGACACTGTCCTTGGCAGCACATCACAAGCCATTCTGACACATCCAGGCTGTGACTTAACTTATAAACCATTTCAGCTCCTTTTCATACTTCAGTACTAATACAGTCCACCTCCCACCCCCAAAGAAAGCAGAAACTACCTGTGTAAATCCATGAAGAATCCTGACCTCATTCCAGCCCTGGCAGAAATCACAAGAGGCTTCCATGTACATCCTCTTCTGTGGTCAATGAATGGAAAATGGAAGAAATCTGTGAGAACGCACAGACCAGGCTGGGAGAAGGAAAGCTCGGAAGAACTCTCCACACTTTTGTTCTAAGACATTTTTTATATGATGCTATAAAAGGTCACATGTGTTCTTTGTAACCCTGTAATGCATAATAATAATTTTCCTAATATGCCTGTTCATCTGACATTATTCTAAGGACTGGCACAGCCTTCAGAAGGGCAAAGATGCCCCTAAAATCCCTTGCCAGCATCTTGCTGTTGTCCCCATCACAATCTTCCTGAATTCCTCTCAGCTCTCACAGGGGGCCTGCTGATGGAGTAAGGCCCACAGGAGCTGTGAATTCTGGCTTAAATAAGATCTTCCTCTAAATACAAACCCTGCTGAGTAAATGCTGAGAGTGCAGCATTTACCCAGCTAATGAGCTCCTTCCCCGAAGTTGGCACACAAAGCCCACCTTCTCATTGTGTGGAGCAATTTGCACACCTGAAGCATGCCCTGGCCCCTTCCCCCAATGTCCTTCCTACCTCCCCCTAGCCCCACTGAGAAGAAAATTAAAAATGCTGGATTAGTCTCTTCTGTTTAATTGAATAACTGTCTTATTCTACCTTTGCCTTGCCCCTTACTAAGCACACATCCTGGAAACAACTTTGTCCTAATGTAGAGGTATCATGGAAAGTTCTTCCATATATTTTAAATTTTTTTTAGTCAGAGTCTTGCTTTGTCCCCCAGGTGGGAGTGCAGTGGCGGGATCAGAGCTCATTGCAGCCTCGACCTCCTGTGCTCAAGGGATTCTCCCACCTCATTTTTGATTTTTTTTTTTTTTGTATGGATGATGTCTCACTATGTTCCACCAACTGGTCTGGAACTCCTGGGCTCGAGCAATCTTCCCGCCTTAACCTCTCAGTGTTGGGTTACAGACATGAGCCACCACACCTAACTTCTTCCTATATTTAGAGAAAATCCCTTTGTGACTGCTATCCACTAATTTTTTGTGTGCAGACAGAGTCTTGCTCTGTTGACCAGGCTGGAGTGCAGTGGTGTGATCATAGGGCTTACTGCAGCCTTGACCCTCCTGGGCTCAAGCAATCTTCTGCCTCAGCCTCCCAAGTACCTGGGACTATAGGTGTATGCCACCACACCTGGCTAATTGTTTTTGTAGAGATGGGGTCTTGCTATGTTGGCCAGGCTGGTCTCAAACTCTTGGGCTCAACCAATCCTTCCACCTCCGCCTCCCAAAGTGCTGGGATTACAAGTGTGAGCTACTGTGCCTGGCCACACCCACTGATTCCAATTGAATTCCTCCTTCCACAAGGCCGCTGTCCAAAATTTGCCCTCACGTCTCTTTTGCAGGTGATGCCCCACCTCCCAGGCCCTTCAATCATTTCTCCATGGCATTATTTTCAGACTACTCTCCACCCTGATGGCCCTTTTCTAGAGGATTCCATATTTGTCTCTATTGCTGTTTGTGTGTGTAAAAGACTTTTTAAATTAAAATGTTTTTCTTTTGAGATAATTGTAGATTCACATGCAACTATAAGAAATCAGAGAGATCTAGTGTACTCTTGACCCAGTATGCCCCAATGGTAACATCTTGTACACTATCACAACCGAGACACTGACCTTGATACAATAAAATATAAAACAGAGCCAGGCACAGTGGCTCACACCTGTAATCCCAGCACTTTGGAAGACTGGGTGGACAGATCACCCGAGGTCAGGAGTTCGAGACAGCCTGGCCAACATGGCAAAACCCCATCTCTACTAAAAATTACAAAAATTAGCTGAGTGTGATGGTACACACCTGTAATCCCAGCTACTTGGGAGGCTGAGGCATGAGAAT